AAAAGGTTGGGGACCACTGGTATAGCCAACATGTTTCTCCCCATTCTGCATATGTTCAATGATTGATTAGATAGAAATTTGCAAACGTTTCACAAAGCCTGTGAAAACAGCTACCTCACCCCTGGACTTCATCACTCTGCCTAATCATTGTTGCTTTTTATGTATACTGTGGGAAATAAGAGATAGAGAAAAGCCCACTTGTCCTCCCTCCCATGAATCAGGAACATAATATGTCAGCAAGGTAATTGAAATCCAACAGCTTGAGTGAAAGGGCTTAACTTTAGTTTTCAAGATTCTAGTAAATCATTTTAAGCATTCCACAAGCTCTCCTCTGCCTCCCTCAGTCCTGGAACAACGTTATCTTCTGTGTGTTTATTTTCAGAAATGGGTCAAGTTTAAGAGAGATTTTGACAATTTTAAGACTCAATGTATACCTTGGGAAATGAAGATAAAAGAAGTGGAAAGTAAGTGAACCTTGCTCTCTACCTAATCTACCTTGCTAAAAGCTCTGACAGGAAGTGATTGTGTGGCAGAGGCAGCAGGAGGAGGAGACGGAGGTGGAAGAGCAATTGCCCATTAACTGCTCCTCTGCCTCTAGCAAGGGTCAAAATTAGGGGGTTGTCTTATACATTGGGGGGTCATATGCATGGAAAAATATGGTAGTATACATTTGTTTTAGACATCACAACACAAACATAATGTCTCCGCTAGCTTATCCCATACTTGTTATAAGGTAAAGGTTCCCCTTGATATTTTCAGTCCAGTCATGTCCGACTTTAGGGGGCGGTGCTCGTCCCGCTTTTCAAGCCGTAGAGCCAGCGCCTGTCCGAAGACAGTTTTCCGTTGTCACATGGCCAGCATGACAAGGGAATGCCATTTTACCTTCCCACCGAGATGGTACCTATTTATCTACTCGCATTTACATGCTTTTGAACTGCTAGGTTGGCAAGGAGCTGGGACAAAGCAACGGGAGCTCGCTCCGTTGCATGGATTCAATCTTAGGACTGCTGGTCTTCTGACCCTGCAGCACAGGCTTCTGCGGTTTAGCCCACAGCGCCACCACGTCCCTCATACTTGTTATAGTAAAGCTTTATTTTAACAAACTTTTAATGCATATATGCACTGCTTTTCAACTACAATTCCCAAGTCAGTGTCCATACACAACCATTGTACTACTGCTCTATTTATTACTTCACCACTGTGAACACACAGGGCCTCATCTGATTTCAGAATGTAAGTGGGTCAAGGCTGGTTGGTACTTGAATGGGAGAGCAGAGCACCAGGGAATACCAAGGAATCTCCAGGAAGGGTGAGGAAAGAATCTGGGCTGAGTTTGTACAGCCCTTGCTGCAAGTCAAGAGTTGACAATAATGGGCTAGAACAGACCAAGGGTTTGACACAATACAGGGCAGCTTCCTATGTTGCAAAGCTTCTAACCATGCTATTAAAATAGAATCAAAAGAACAATAGACAGGATGGATAGCCCAATGAACTGGAGTTGCTGACTGCAGAATCAGAGGTTGAGAATTTGATTCTCTACTGTGACTCCTGGAAGAAAAGGATTCTGCATGGCTCTGGGCAAGCTACATGGTCTCAGAGCTCCCCTCAAAGATTGGAATGATTAACCATCTTTGAGTACTTTATATCTAGAAAATCCAGAGGAGCATTGCCACAAGTGAGAATGGATTTGATGGCATGTGGTTAATAATACAAGTGATTCTGGGAGATATCACTCAAAAACTTGGGAGAGCCAAAGACCACTGGCACTGTTCTGTGGTAGTAATTACAGCCTTTCAAAAGTCCCATCCATAGCCAGTGGCTCCTGAGTCTTCATTCCATATTTGAATGCCATTCTATATTTCTGTTTATTTACTGGCAGCCAGCAGGAGTTAAATGCCAGTTATCTTATATCCCAAATGGCACTGGTGAGTACAGGTGTCTGCTCATGTAAGATAAAACACCAATTTGTGAGGATAGTGCATTAAAGAAAAAGAACTCCTATCTGGATGGAATGCAAAAGAGTACCTCTCTTGTGGATGTTGTTAACAGTTGAAAAATAGTTGCTTCCTCTTCAAGTGGACAGCACTTTACGGGAGATGTATTCATCAATTTCTCTCCTCTTCAGGCAACCTTATGTTTCAAAAGTCAGCTTTCTTTTTTCAAATGAGCATCATCACCATAAAGTCACTATAGACAGTCTCTCTCCTCCAGGCAGGTCTCATGAGCTCAGCTGAGGAAGACCTGGAATTGGAGGAGTTGATTGAAGCAGAAGGAAGTGTAGGGCAATTAGCGGAACAGAAGGTCCCTCTGTTATCATAGACAGCTCCAATTAGGGATGAATCACTGCCAGATTCTTCTCCTCAGCTGGCCAGAGTTAGAGATAGGCTCTGGCAGAAACTTACAACACAGAGATTTGAAGCTCGCATGCATGCTTCTCATAGAAATATCAGATCAGCCAGTCCAGAGTTTTAGCAGGATGGAGTGTTCCCAGGAATGAGATGATTGTTGCTTCTATATAATTTGTACACAGAGGTCTGGAAACTCGTGGAAGCAACAAGTCAATTCCCTGGCTTGCATTCACGCTCTTGTTTATCTTCAACTACCTGAACCTTGCTCCCCTCACCCTTGGCTCTCAAACTCTGACTTTGGACTACGGTTTGTGTTTTGGTTTTGATGATTCAGCATCTGTTTTGATCTCCCAGACTTCTAACCTTGGATTGGCTTGTCGGACTTCCACCTGTTGAATTCCCTGAGAATGTGACAGCACGCAGCATGATTGCAGTAGTTCAGCTGTTGTAATAACACCACTGGTAACAGACAGCAGAAGCATGTGAACATAGTGTTGGTCTCTCTCACTGAAGCAGGAAGATGCATATGGACAAAAGTGTCCCTTTCTCCTGTTAAAGTGAGCAGCAACATCATAACTACATCAGTATTTCCCTCACTTGAATAGGAAGCAGCATATAGATCGAGAAGTGAATACTAATGGAAGGCTCCCCAGCTATTCTAAGGCTTTACTTATAGAACTGACCCAGGACCAGGGCAGGCTGGAAGCAAAAGCATGAGACAGAATGCTTTTTTATGAGTATGTTGGAAGAATCCTGTGTGTAACATGTTAACAACCTGAGGCATATATCATAGCTGGGTGCAGTTTGAAAGACAAAGTGACAGGCTGCAGGCTGCAGGCAGCAGAAGGGTCTTTAGTCCTAGCATAACATTGCAAAAAGTGAGTTTCACAACTCAGTTTATGTCCCATAGTGGCCTAACAGAGAGGACACGTGGCTGAAGGCAGTGAATGCAATAGAAGCAATGGGCAAAGGCAGGCATTTTATGCGAACTCCATTTACACATCATGAAATAGGGGCAATATTAAGAAAGAGAGGGAGAGAGACCACATGGCACCTGGTGGGCAGCAGAACAGTCCTGTCTGAGGAAAGAGACGAAGAAAGAAGAGAAGCCATTTGGGACTTGGAACAAAGTTGCAGACATTGTGTGTGCACACGCCACTGGAATACGGTTAAACTGGACAGCAGCTCAGGGAATCCCAACAATAGAAAAGGATTATTCTTCAGAAACAGCCATTGCTAAAAAGGGGAAACTGTCATGAAAATAAGAGCAATTTTTAAAATGGGAAGGGCTAAAAATTGCTCTATATGCAACATGATACCTAGGTGAAATGAAGAAGGAAGGAAACCGAGACCAAAACCAAAAACTTGTTATTTTGAAACAGGTGTATAAGTTCAGCAAGCAAAGGCCAAGTGTAAAAATATTCCACATCATCCATGCATAGAATTCAAATTAGAAAGAAACAGTGATGACAAGAAACCCTCTTTCCTTCTCAGGCAAACTACAGCTCTAGGGAACTTCTTATGGTTGGAGAGACAACAGTTATTACTTTATTTCCCTCCCAATACTGCATTTGCAATCCTGCTTCCCCCCCCCTTCTATGTGATTGTTATTTAATAATGTTTAGAATAGTCAACACAGGAGGACACCTGCCTTGCATTTGTTTCATATAACAAATGAAATAAATTTGATTATTTCATACCCTAAATAGATGGTACAACGAGGAATTCTGATCTCCCCTGACTCTCCATAGATATTTGAGAAAACCAAGCAAGCAAAAAGTAAAAAAGGGAGTACTAACTCTGGATTTTTTTTATATTACTTACAGCCTCCCTCCCTCCCTCTTTTTCTTTCTTTCTTTCTTTCTTTCTACTAAATTTGCCACTGCTTTGTGGGAATTAAAAAAACTCTGAAGTTGGAAAGAGATGCTGATGGCTGTCTGTAATACTTTCTCTTCTATAAATGATGTCTAACTCTTCAGCAAGGTACCCAGTGTGGTGTAATGGATAGAGTGATAGACTAGAACTCAGGAGACCTGGGTTCGAACCCCCACTCAGCCATGGAAACTCCCTGGAAGTGTGGAACTAGTAAAACTACTCCTTAAACACTTCATTTAACTTGAAAGACCTATTAGGGTCATTAAGTCAGTTTTGACTTGATGACACATAACAATAACAACTCTTCAGTGCTTTCTATTCATTCACTGGTGTGGATGCACCAGTGATTGTTACGCATGCTTCAGAAAGGTAAATCTGGGATTTCTGAGCACAGAAGAGTGGAAGGAAAATTAATTCCCTACCTAGTAAGGGTTAAAAGGCTGTCTTTCCTATGGAAATCATTGCCAACTTCTGAAGCAGGTGGATAGTAGCTGTAAGAGGGAACGGGGACCCATTCCTCCCTTCTCTAGTGACATCAACAAAAGGTGACAGTGACCAACCTTCTTTAGGCAAGCATTTTCATTATAATATCATAATGGCCAAGTAGTCTTCTTTTGAGGCTTTACAATGACCAGTCTCCTTCCTTCAGTCTGGTGCCATGCATGTGGTCACAATGTCCAGTCTCTCTCCTTCTAGCAGCGACAGCATGAGGTCATAATGGCCCATCTGTTTCCTCAAAGCATGCAGCAGCAGTGGGAGTTAACATCAAGAAGAGTTAGAATAACTAGTCTTTCTGCTTCATTCAGTCAACATCAACAGGACAGCATGTTAGTCAATTTTTTTAGTACGTGCTGAGAGAGGTGTGAGAGAGCATATTCAATCCCTTTGTCTTAAGCAGGCAAACACATATAAACACAGTCTTCTTCTTACTGAAATGGGTACAGATTGGATCCTGTGGGCACAGTCTGTCTTTTCCTTCCTTAGGTGAGCATCAGTAGTGTGCAGGCACAGTGGCCACTGGTGACTCTCTCACTGCAAAGAAGCAGCCACATACAGATGACAATATGATGAAGCTGAAGTATTTATTTATTTATTTATTTATGTATTTATTTATTTATTTATTTATTTATTTATTTCATTTATAGCCCGATAGTTTGCAAATGTGAGGTGCAGATTACAAGACAGAGAAATACCAGGTGGTGTCTGAAAAGCAGTAAAATCTGGAAAAAAAACAAAGAGGGAGGAAGGGAGGGAGACTGACAAAGGGATGTTAGGCAATGAGCAGGAAGAATTTAGAGGAGGGGAAAGAGTGGTTGTTTCTGTTCTCACATAGGATTCTGACTATACGTGTCAAATCCCACATAGCAGCACAAAGAACTCCAGCAACAAAATATTGTCCTTTGGGAAGCCTGAGGGATAGGAAAGAGGAAAAGATTGGGAAAATTCATAAAGAGGAAAAATGCATCAAACCAAAACAGCTGCTGGGTGAAACGAAAGAAGGAAGGAAAATGGGAAAGACAGAGAAAATGTAAAAATGCATGGTTTAGAATGGATTTATGATATGGGAAGAAAAGACTAATAGGGAAAATCTGCCAGATGCTTTGCACAGAGAATCAGGAGGAGTCAAGCTCCTTCATTCATAGCTTTCACAGCATGCTGCCCTCCATGTGCCTGATGACGTGTTGCTGACCCAGCTGTATGACATTACCACACAAAACTCACCAGAATGATTATGATGGTTTTGAAGAAATTCATGAGTTTCAGAAACATCGTGTCAGCTTAAGTAAACCTCATATTTTATGTACTACACTTATTATGATCTAAAGCAGCAAATACGTTAGGACAGGTCATTTTAAAGAAATCCATCTGCAGTTATATCATGATGTTCATAAGGTCCAACTGGGTGGCAAATTTTGTTATATGCTTTCTTTAAAATCATCCTAGAATGAAGTTGGAGTTAGCCTACAAACTTCCAGGATGGTGCTGGGTATAGGCATTGCCATCTTGGTTTTGCAGAATAGCTTTAGGTGTCAATAGCTTCAATATGGTAGCAACTCTGTATGCTAATGTTTGATCATCTATGCCTGCACACCCCCTCACCCTGATATTGATGAATTCTTTTTTTTAATTTTTAATTTTTAATTTTATAATACAGAAAAACACAAAAAATAACATAGATAACAACAAAAATACAGAAAAAAATACAAATAATAGTGCTTATTATAAACTAAATTCTAACGTGTACCCCATACCCACGGGACTCCATTTAATAATATTTTATTACAGATTACCTCTCCAAAATTGTATTGAATATTCTTTAAAGGCTTTCCCCCTTCCTTTCACTAACACAAATTCTACAAATTTACCCCAAATATCATAAAAATTGTTAGAACTTATTTCCCCTCTTTTTATTTTAAGTTCCATAGTCAATTTATCATTTAATGCAATTTCCCATACTTCACAATACCAGTCTTCTATTTTAATATCATTCTTATCTTTCCAAAATCTAGCTATTAATATTCTAGTACTTGTCATAAAATTGGTGATTAATTCTTTCAAATAATAGTCCAAATCTGTGTTATCAAAAGTTGACAATAAAGCAATTTTAGCAGTAAGATCAATATCTTTACCAAATATATCACA